GATTGCACATTGCACATTTCTGCTTTGCGAAAATATTTTTAAATGAGCTTCCTCCAGGTTCTTGGAAGAAACAGTGTGCAGCTAAAAGTATGAGATGGTGGAAACAGAGTAACACGTTAGTAGGACCCAGCTGTGAAATGCCTGAGAAAGACACGAGTTAAATAAATCACTTTCATCTATCAAAATCACAGTGTTCATCTCTATTATTCCCCCAAAAGTGCTCTGTGCTATTTATTTTATTACAAAGGTTTAATGTCAAGAATTTAGAAAATGAACATTTACATGCATACGAGCTACCGTGATTTAAAAATATATATATATTTTAAGTAAGAGTGAACATGGCTACCTTGGCATGTCCTAATATCACATGCTTCTTTTCTGGTTGCTCCATCGGACCCGGAGACATAGCACCAGGGCTTCTCTGAACCATCTGGGTTGCGGCAGAAATTGTGATCTCCAACATCTGGCAAGAAGAAATCAAAATGATGAACCTTTAAAATTTGATTTAATGGATTCTTAATATTTTTGAACTAAACATTTTTTTGGTTTGTTTGTGTGAGCATGTGTTTTTGAGTTGTAGTGAGTGTGTCCCACATGCACATCCCCAGAAATGTCCTCGTCTGGATTATGGAAGAGTGATTGCTCAGCTTTATGAGTTGGGCTCATGATATCATCTGGGCAGCAAGCCCATGTCATACATAACCATAATTTACTAAATCTATAATCAGCAACATTGACAGTTTGCAAACTGCATGCTCTAATTAATGGATACAGTCTGTAAATATGCTTGATTGTATGCATCCTAGCTTCATTTCCTCAAATATGATTACATTGTTTTGGGGTGTTGTTTTGAAAGAGCTTGATTTCAAATTTTATAATAAATATGTACAAAAACATCACGAAAAGTTACCTGTCTGTGAGTTGAGACTCTTCCAGTTGAGGCAGATATTCCCTGTGGATGTCTTCTGTTGAATTCCCCTATAGTCCTCTCCATTAGATCTTACACACTCTGGGGGGAACAAATCACCTTCATGTGATTTGGAAAAGTGGTTTCCGTTCCATTAATTTAGAATAAGGTGGTTCAATTTTCATGACTAAATCACAACATTAACTACACTAAAACAATAGTCAATACTTCCAGTAAAAACGTGCTTTGTTATGAACAGATATGAAATGATCATGTACAAACACTGCTGTAAAATGCAAAATAGTGAGAAAACAAACCCTCATAAACTCAAATCACTTGAACTAAATCATACTTTTTTTTTTTTAGAAAGTTAATGCAACACACAGAAAGGGATCTTACCTTCAACAACAGACCAACAGTCCACCAAACCAGAGCTCAGCAGAAACACAAAGTACAGCAGTTGAAACATTTTCATTCGTAGATGCTGTCTACAACAAGAAGAATTATTATTTATGATGACTCGAAACGAAAACGATCTGTTTAAAGGGAAGAGCCTGTGGTAAATGGAGCCACACTGCTCTCCAAACACAGCGCAGTCGTGCTCTTGTTTTGAGCTGTGAGCTGGTAAACAGCCTGTCTGTCTGTGTGTCTGTCTGTCTGTCTGTCTGTCTGTGTTTCTGTCTGTCTCTGCAGAAGCTCCCTGCAGTGACGCCGCGTCCTCCAGGTCCTAAACACAGCAGTTTCTCTCGTAATTATGTGGAACATGCGATTTATTCATAGCGTTCAGTCACGTGACCGGCTCGAGGACTTGGAGGGCAAAACATCCATAGAACTGCAGCACAAGCCTCTCTATTTTTTTCTCCATCTGTTTCCCAGCCGCAAATATTTAGATCACCTCTCAGAAGAATAAAACAAAGGTATTGTGAACAAAATGCAAGTTTTGGCCATTTGCAAATCCATATTAAAGGGGTCATATGATGCGATTTCAAGTATTCCTTTCTC